ATAAAATGGAATGTCCTTAAGGAAAGGTGCGTCGGTAATACAAGGGAACGGAAGGGAATCCAACCTATTATGTACAATGCCAGTTGACCGAGGGATATTTCTCTCTCCTCCCCTTTTCCCCAACGGGTATTTGAAGCGAGTGTTGGGGATTCTACGAGCACAACCTCTCCTCCCGATCATCACCAACGCACCTTCCAAAAACTAAAGAGGGTATTTCGGGTGAAGAGTGACTTGAAGAGCATCATTAAATATTTTGAATGGAATCGGATAAAAATGCGTGAAATGCAAAACATGTTAAGTATGAAGTTAAAAATACAACTCTTTGAACTTATCATTAGTCAAAAGATGAAGAGGCAGCATAAGAGTACAAAGAAAGTGAAATGAAGATGGATTCAACCTATATGTAACTGTCTTCCAAAAAACAATAATAAGAATATTATATAAAAAGAATATGATAATTATAATAACAATAAAAATAATAACATAAACAACATATACGATGACCCTAGTTTAGGTAAGTATTACATGGTGACCCTATTTTAGATAATTATAATACTGTAGACCAATAATTCTACACATGAATGCAACTTAAAAATGTCTAATAGAGCTATCTGTATCACATCTACACTGGCATTCAGTGAACAAAAAATATCTATAAAAATTAACTAGCACTAATACATGAATCAGTGACAAAACAGTGGAACAATGTTCATTTTCAAAGCCTTGTGTATAGATAGAATGGGAATGAAAGGGCACAGAATAAATAATTTCTTCCTTTTTTTTTCTCCATGTAAACCCAAGGCTAATAAGCAGGATGCCGGTAGATCCTATCAGTACTATGCTATTCCTGGAGTGCGTTCAAAATGATTCATGGCAGACTGCTTTGGTGAAATAACTCCTCGTAACATATGAGTACCTTCAAATGGTTTTACGTAATCTAAAGACCCCTTAGCAGAGTCAAAATAAAGTACTACATCAACCAACAATTAATATCACATACTAAATCATACAGCTACCGTATCATACATCTTTGTAAATCAATCGGTGATAATTTTTACTCAACGGAAAAAAAAAAAAAAAATTATATATATATGTATCAATAGTATCATGTCGGTAAACAAGAAACAAGTACATGAACAACATAAGATCAGTACATACCTCAATTAAGAACCAAAGGCAAATTACACTACACACCATGCATACTTTCTCCCTCGGGAATCTCTCTCTCTCTTTTTCTTTTCCATTTCCTTAAGTGTTCACAGATACACTTTACAAGTCTCTGTGATATTGTACATGTCATATTGACCAGTTTTCATTGGAAAATAGACAATATTAGACTTGAGCACAAATTATCACTCAATAATATATCTTAAAAACACCTAAAAACATGAGAAATCAATGTTATTTGATAATCTTCATACATAGCTAAAAACATTTATGTATAGTGCCTGGCGGAACAGCTTCCTATTACACAGCTAGTGGATAGGTAACGTCATACATCCATTCTGTTAGCATACTCAAGAGAGGTTCTAACAACCTACAGTGTACAGATCTAACAATGGTTCTTTGGACTGCGTTGTTAAGTTACTCTAAATATATATCTCTTCTGTCTCCTTGCATAACATTCATGTATTTCCATGATGTCAAGTTAAAAGTAGTATTCTGATTTATTTCTGGATTTTTCCTTAGCTTCCTCTTTTTTCACGGGGAGAGGGGGGGAGGGGAGTATTTACGTACATTTAATATTTTGGGCAATTGAAATACTTCAATTTATACATCATCAAATTGATACCTCCTATAATATAATTATAACAATAATGATGATGATGATAATAATAATAATAATGAAAAAATAATAATAATAATTAATAATATTGATAATACCATTAATAGTAATGATTAAATGATAATTAAAACAATAACTAATTACGATAATAATAAAAACAATATCTTCAATTCACAATGGAATGACCAGCAGAAATACAACCCAATGTATAATCCTATAGTGATTTCTTCTTCTACTTCTGTTCCTTCACAACAGAACTCTTATTTCACAATATCTACAATCAGATATATTCCACCTTAAGTTTCAATAATTTCCTAAGTCAAATGCCGCTTCCAGCTACCTACGTCCACTGCTGTTCTTCCTGGATTCGTTGGAAGCATTCGTCCATGAAGTGATACTGTAAAAAAAGAATAAAATAAGAAAATATATTATTCAAGAGTTTGGGATTTCCTCTACTGTCACATTCAAATATAAATCAACTCTTAAATCTCAAAGTACATGTGGACAGAACAAAAAGACTGGATCATACAGACACTCAGACTTACAAATAAACTGACAGAGAGCGGACACGAACAAAAACACACACACAAAAGAGTAAAAATTATTCAACTCAACTTACATAAGGAGTGAAGATTTTCACCCATCTGATAAGGTCCTCAGTTTGCCGATAGAGGAAACAGAATGCCATGCCTTCATCATCTATTTCAAACTTCTCAATCGTTGACCAGGCAAAGTCAATTACCTGCGTCTGTAAGATATAACAATTACAAATAAGTGATACATATTCCAATGCCTCACTCTCATGTCTTGTTCTCAAATATAATACATTCAATCTAGTTTGTGAACTGTAATGTATGACACATTAACTCTTAAAAGTATACTTATTATATGATACTCTTGTTTTCAGTGATGTATTAAAGAGTTAATCAATATCCATCAATTGCTACATATGACCATGACTCATTGAAATTTGATAGGTTCCATGAATTTTCTACATAAAATAAAAATTACACGAGATGATCTTATGAAAACGAAATGAGAAATATCACATGATTTTACTTTGTTGTAAAAGAGAAGGTTTTCGGTATTGCTGCAAAAACTCATAACACAAGACTAAACTCCTCTACATAATAGCTCTGTACATAATAGCTCTCATAATCCATTTCTTTCATCCTCCATCATCAATTATGCCCAAGATGCTACTCACCTGTAATGTACCATCCTCCTTACAAGCTTGTAACCTAAATGACTTGTAACCCACATAGGCAACAACATGTCCCTTCTTCCTGGAGTCACATGGGCAATGAGGGAACACTATATCGCCATAGCCTTCACATCCGCGGACAACCTGAAAGAGAAGATTTGTTCTAAATCTACGGATTTTAAATGACCAAAAAAAATAATCTTGGTATTCACTGATATGACTATTATATCCTTGACTTGTTGGATCCAGGTGATGGGGGTGTCATGTCATTTACTCGATGCCGCCGGGAAAATGCTGTGCTCCTTTTTAATTATTTGTGGGATGTGTCTGCACATAGATGGCTCTGCTAGTGCATGGCACAAGGGAGTCAATTAGTAGACTCTGTGACCTTACCTGATTTCACCTTTCCTTGAATTGGTGGCAAAAATGTTTTTTTTTTACTAATGCTATGAATATTGATGGTTATTCATATTACATTCATTATAATTACTATAATGTTATAAATATTAGTAACAGCAATATAAGATAACATAAAATGTTTTTGAAATTCAAGGAAAATGGTAAACAGGCAAGACAGGCAGAACTTGTAGTTCGTTCTTAGGTGCTCTACTACAAGTGTAGCCATCTGTATGCAAAACAATTAGTAAAGTAAACTCACAGTGGACATGGTATGTATATGCATGCCATGCCAGTCAGATTTGGGTTAAATGTGTTATGGAAAAAATTTGGCTGATGGTGGGGAGATGGGAATATGTTGTCATGAGTTATTTTTGTTGAGTGGCAGATGACAGGTATGTCTGGCTCTTGGTGGGAGATTAGATTCAGTAGGCCTTTAGCAAGGGGCTTTTGTCTTATTTCCACCAATAAGCAAGGGAGGAATGTACTATCTGGAAGCCATGCCTGAAAGAGCCCTGGCTCAAATGAGAACACCATTTTCATGCAGTGTACCCTATTCCTGCCTGACTGGCTGTGCTGGGCTTTACAGAAAATTGAATATTATGTAAATATAAAAAATAAAGAATATATTGTTACTCATTCTTCTTGTTAGTGAGCAGAGTTGTAGACTATCTAGAGATAATATGGACACAGAGGAGGGAAGGAGTCTTGATACTACACATGAGTGTTCAGTGGACCAGGCTCAACAGACACACTTGCCACCCAAGTAAAAGGTCCACCTGTGAGTGTGATAGACTGTTTTATCCTTGACAGCACAACTGTTTTCAAGCATCAGCAGTTCACATGAAACAATGTGTCATCATGCCCATGTGAAAAAGTGTTTGCTCTGACTGCTGGATAGAGCAGCATGATGTCTGGAGGTGTTGTGACTCAGGAACTTAATTTTTCAAGGATGAGTACATGTTATAAAGAGTGTTTGACTGGGTTAGGGTAGGTTATACCTGGAAACACAAGATTAAGCAGTATGCTTATTTAGAAATAATAGCTCATAATGTTCTAATAAGTTCTGAGTTCCACAAACAAGGTGTGATGTGGCTGGTCAAGAGGGTGTATAAAACTTGGAATTATGCAAGGGATTCTTGCTTTACTATGCCAATGCTATTCCTGGTGCTTGCTATTTCACACAAGACAGATGATTGTGATGGAAAAAAATGCAAGATATCAAGCTTCTACAGTAGGCCAGGCAATCCCCTTGCCAGGAAGCTTGCACCCCAAGGCCTAACCTCCTGACATGACAGAACTAGGCACATTTCTGCTCCATCGAGAATGGGCCAAAAATAATTTCATAACCATATTGTGAAAGATCCATTATGTAACTCTTTTGGTTTATCTTTCTGTCAGATCATGAATTATTTTAAAACAATCCAAACAATCTTATAATACAGTAAAGAACATAACATGTGTGTTAATGGCATACAGTACACATCCATGTACTGCACTTCTCATTAGTGTTGCAGTGCATATTTTCATTTAATATTCTTTATAGAATATTAATTTAGTACACAATGGCTCCCATATGCAGCAAAACTAGTGCAGTTTAACCAAAAAAGTACACTACAGTAACCCAAATAGCTATACAATATGGTGTCCACTATGACAGACCTTATAAGGGACATTAACCCAATAAACGTGTATAGCATCTATTCTTGCTATTAAGAACCAGGCCCAAATACCAAGCCTATGCTGTGTGCATTAAATATTTACTTGGCTTTGACTGTAGTCACTGAGATACATGCCCTCAACAGTATGATTTTCTTTTTTAGGAAATATACCTAAAAAGAAACTTTTTGGGTACATTTCCTAAAAAAAATAATAGATATTGCTGCCCAAAAGAGTGATGTAAATGTACGTTTTCAGCACCTCTAACTTCCCAAGAAGTGGCTGACTGCAGGAGCTGTTTAGTAAACTTATTAGGCTAACCCAATGGCAACAGGTGAAAAAAAAAATAATAATAAAAAAAACTCTACTCTACTCTATGGCGAACCATGGCAGCGCGCCGACTGCGAGCACTTGAGTTCAGTACATCAGGCCGAATCACTGGCTCACCGTGCTTTGGCGCGCCACCGCAGCATACAGCCACACGCCACTTTTCGAGCAGTTTATTTTCATGCCTAGCGGCGTCACTCGCCGTGAAGGGCTTAAGCAACATATGTCCATACTAATCTGTATATACATGATGTTTTGTAATTAATCACACTTGGTGTCTTTTATGTGAAACCAATTATCATAAACCCAGATCATGCTAAGAATCTCATAATCAAATAGGTGTACAAGTTCAACAAAAAAGCAGAATAACTAACCTCTGAAGCATGCAATAGTAAACATGAGATTAATCATTATTATTTTCCAGTTCTATGACATAAAAAGAAGGAGAAGGAGAAGAAGAAGAAGAAGAAAAAAAAAATCTTGTCTACAGAAGCATATCTAATGTACCTAATTCTTTACTAATTAAAATACTGACCTGGAGGTACTGCTCCTTTCGAGCAACATCTTGCAATGCCTTTAACTGATACAACTGATCTGTGGGTTTGATATGGCCTCGATTCACATCTTCCACAGCTGTCCAAAACAGCCATGTGTGAGCAGTGTCATCTGTTGCACAAAGGCGTATCTGAAAGTAACGAATTGTGCATCCTCAGTAATTTCAACAATGAAAATACAGCCCTAAGCAAATATCAATAACTAGGTAAAATCAGTAAAGGTACAGCAATTGACATAATGCAAATCCTAATATTCATGTAAATTGTTTTGGATAACAAAAGAGTGACAAAACCTTTGAATATAATTCACAGTAAATGAAAAGGACCTCAAATTACCAAAACAAACGGCAAATAGCTGGCCAGAAAATTAAAAACACTAAAAAGATATTTCACTTTAATTTCTAAAAAGGCATAATTAAAAAGATTTACAACATCTCAAGCAGAATCCAAAACTGTCAACATAGATATGTCATGTTAGGTGCTTTCATAACATGAGTGAAATACAATATAATCCTGGAAATTTGTTTTCAGATTACTACTGGCCAACCTCTACTCTAACTCTAATGCATCTTTAACCCAATCACTATGGATTTATTTACGGTCTCCTGTAGTTGTTAGTGAGTTTTGTCACATACAGATGGCTCCACATGTACGCAGCAATCAAGGAGTCTAGAAATATGCCCCAGTGGCCGCTCCTGATTTCCCCTTTCCTTGAGATTTTGGGAGAATGTGTTTTTCTTTCTAATACTATTGATATTGATACTGTTATTATTCTTACTAATATTATAATTATCAAATTCTTATTAATGTCTTGGTAACATTAAAGACAATGAAATAATACAAAAATCAAGGAAAAGGGTAGACAGGTGAGATAGGTAGGACTTATAACTGACTCCTTGGTAAGAAAGCACTTATAGAGCCATCTATGTGTAAATACAATAAATAAACTTATATTACAGTGGGCATGGCATGTATTCTGGCCATCTGTGCCAATTGGGTTAATTTGCACTGATAAAATTTTCACAATATTCATTATTAAACCTTTATATGATTATCAATATCTATTTTTTTCCCTTTAAAACTATTCATGTCAATATCAATTTACTGTAATAAAGCTGATTTCAGCTAAATGAATATTACTGATCTTTTCTTGTATGAAATGTATGAAACTTGCCAAATGTTAGTTGCCTAATCTAGTCTACTGTATCAGTAACATCCATCTTTCTTAAATATTTTTCAACAAGTGTAAATGGCTGACAGTTTTGGAGATTCTTGTGGTGTCAATATGTGCCTTTGTGGACATATTTCCACAATCTTGGAATCTTTACAATTACTGCTAAAGATACGTCAATAAACCTACAACTGAATTTTGTGTTGCAGGTTTATATATGGACAAAATCTCCTATTACCCCCATTAGATGTCAATTTCCAAGTATTCAAGCCCTTTCCCAAGCAGTAGTCGAGCCCTGTTAAAACTACAAATAACCAGACAGTCTCCAATCTATCCAGAGATATAACCAGACAGTCTCTCCAATCTATCCAGAGATATAACCAGACAGTCTCCAATCTATCCA